GTAGGTTTAAACCCTTGATAAGATGATGCACTGGAAATCACCACTGACACCACCGAGCCCCTGTATAATCCCTGTGAAGAGTGTACTCTGAATTCAGCATCTGCTAAATGAAAACTTGCATACTTTTCTTTCTAAATGAAGGCAATTGAAGCACGAGCGATTACAGCATCATATTTATTGGCCTTTTCAAAATACATTGCACTGAAAGCTTCATTGACTTCAACACTGCTTCTAGCTTCATTGTGTCTCAGATATGCGGTAGGTAATGCAAGTTAAAAGGTGTGAAAGCTTTCAGCAGCCCAGCAATGCTACATTTCACTGGCATCAACATGCACTTGGCCAGCAGATCGAAAGACTGACTCATAAACACACATGGGACCAGAAACATAATAAATAACTCTGCAATGCACGCAGATCATAGCACACACTGTAAGGGGGAGATAACTCAAATCAGAAAGGGATGGCAGGAATCACACAGAGCTGGACTGAGTGCAACTCAGCATGCAGTGAGCAGCAAGCAAGCCAAGGCCATTAAATAAAAGCAGCACAACTCGCACATGCACACAAACCAGAGGAAAGATCATGAAACTGTCTCGTTTTAGAGAAAAGGAAAAGCAGTGCGCCTCATTTAAAGCATGAATGCTAGCTTTCAACACACAACGCGTGAGACAACGCTGAGATGCAAATGTTGACTCCCGCAATGTAGCACAGACTACAATGATTATTGACTCTGGAGGCAAATAAATTAAGTTTGAACAAGAAGACAATGGAAAGCTGTGGCAGCTGGACAGAAGGGGAGGAAAGAGAGCATTTCATCATCGGGTCAGTAATGAAGCCCTCCTGGGATGCACTAGGGGGGTAAGATAACCCAATTAGGCCGCGCTCATGACGTCCAATGCTAGGCAAAACAGTGAGGGACGGATAAGATTAATGGGCTGCTGAAAGAAAGCATCAAAAAGTACTAAAAGAGAAAAAAGAAAGAACGAACGACAAAGCAAAGCAGAAATGAGCAGGGACCCCTTTTCTGTTCCTGCGTTTGCTCAAGAATGGTTCAAAGGACAGGTCAAAGGCCATGGTGGGAGACAGTCCTTCTCCAGAGTCGGATTTAAGGGCCGGCCTCACAGGATAAACAGCCCTGAAGCGGATGATATGGATGAGTGAGTGCACACACAGAAACACCCATAGATCATGAAGATGATCAGTGCATATTTCCCTAAGTATCTCTATCCCCACATTGAAACCGATTCCTTGATCGATTGATCTGAGTTTCATGCTCTTCACTCCACGTGACAATCTTGATTTATATCTGATACCAAATGAGAGTGCTGCAGCATTTGTTTTCAGTTTAGAAGACCTTATTTTCCAGAACAGGGACTAAATTCATGAAACAATCTTAAGGATAAAATTCTTGTTAACTGCCATTTTCTAACTTTGGAATAAAATCAAGAGTATTTTGTATTTCACAAACATTTCTTAAGAAGTTCATTTTTTCTTGAGATTATTCTGAAGACAAAACTTAACAAGAACCTGAATTCCTGAAAAGAATCAACGGTGAAATTTTTTTTTTATTGAGTTCTTCAACACCAAATCCTGCCATTTTCTTCTTTAAAAAAGAAAATAGCTTAATATCTCAGGAATATTTTCAAGAATGACATTTACAAACTTGATAGAATTTATCTTAACACATTTTTTTTAACTTCTTTCTTAAGAAGATTTTTGTGAATCCACAGAACAATTCAATTAAATGTGTGAATTAAACGTTTAAATTAAAGCATGAATGAAAATAATGAAAATTATAGCCATACATATAACAAATATTTCCTCCTCCTGTTTTACAAGTATAGTGTACTCAAAATGCAGAGGAGTAAAACAAATACAGTAAACAAAATGCATCTAATGTGTATAACCCACGGAGCAATACTAAAGCATCAAAGAGTCCCTGCTTTCATGGAGGCAGTATGAGGTAGAGGTGGAGGTATGTTGGTTGGTGCTGATGGGTCAGCAGTGGCGCCCCAAGTCTCACACTCCCACCCTGAGCGCTGCTCTCCAGGGCAGTGAAGCCGAGCAGAACAGGAAATAGCTGATGACTTAACCCCCAACTGCGCTCAGCTTCACCGGCCCCTAATTAGACAGATATTGTTAAGGGGCTTTTCTCAGGACATTTACATTTCAGGCATTGTCTTGGCTATGTGCAAAATGGATTAGGTTAATGGTTAGGATGTGGATCGGGGGTTAATTATGATTTATATGCCTGTTCAGCCTGTGATGCTTTAAAAAGCAGAATAAACAGTCTCTCTGTGCTCTAGCGTGGGAAACTAAATTATGCAGGTATCTATACAGTACATTGCCATGCAGTTCTAACTGACATACAGTGAGATTCTGTGTAGCTGAACTACAGTATAATGTATACACGACATAATGTGTAATTGAATATTTAAAGGATTAAAAGCATGTTGTGCATCTTTCAAAACCAGTGCACAACGCTAAGACCAGTTAGTCAGTAGTCTGATTAACCTGTATAAATGCTGGACAAAAGCTACAAACATATTATGTAGGTCTGTTAGTCAGGTTTCTCAATTTTAGTCAAACTAAAGCATTTGATTGACACTTTAAAAAAGATAAATTATTATTTTAGCCATACTAAACTACTATATACATATATACATATACATTAACTATCTATAACATATTTGATATTATTTATTATGATCTACTTTACATAAATGTGTTATATTTGTCCATTTTTACATGTATTTTTATTTGTTTTTCAATTTAATCCATACGTTTTTTTATATTTAATAAATGAATGTTTCCAAAGACAAATAATCAACATCTTAGTAATTACCAAAATAATCGTATTTATTTATTTACACAATCACTCAGCCCTAACACACAGTGACATATGTTTTGCCAGGTAACCTAAATGACTAGTTTACGAAAACAAGTTATTTTTTATAAATGAGGTTAGGAATAAATCACTGCTTAAATGTAAAAAAGAAAGGCTGAACATGAATGACTATATAAACAAGTAAACTCAAAGCAGCTACATCTTCAGTATTTCACACGGTTTAAAGTATAAACACATACTTTCTTTATATCTAAAGTTATATTTGCACTTAAATATCAGTAAACAGTGCTGGCTATCCAAGGCATCTCAAAGACACACTGCATCATCAGACAGCAGTGCAATAAACTTCCCTCTCACAGCATGTAGACGATGCAGCTGCATGTGTTTAGTAAACACCGTCTGTTTCATCAGTCTGTGACTGACGGGAGGAGGGGGTGAGAGATCAAACCATCAGCACAGAGAGTGAAGACGACTCAACACCTGCGTACTTCAGAGACACCCCACATCCCACCCACAACAACTCTAAGCCATTTACCCAAACAAAGTAAATATTTACATGAAGATATGAGGGTCAGATCAAGGCCATAAGCTGTGGTCACAGGTCAGTCAAGGTGATGAGGTCTGGACAGAAGTGGAGGGCTTACATGTACACAAGGATGATGTTTTGCCTAATTTCTTGCCTTGTTATGTCTCAAAAAAAGCCTAATCAACCACATGCATTGCCAGCACTAGAGGAGGGGAATGAAAAAGCTTATATAATGATGATTAAAAAAACATACTGTTGATTACGTCTGATTTAGCATAAAAAAAAAAAGCTTGCCTAAATATAAACCTGAAAGCAAGACTGCATAAATATGCAAGTATTCAAAAGCTCTCTGTCCTAATGAATGAGTGAGTTGAAGTTTGAATAAGTCTGGACAGTGATGACACAGAGAGTGAAGACGACTCAACACCTGCGTACTTCAGAGACACCCCACATCCCACCCACAACAACTCTAAGCCATTTACCCAAACAAAGTAAATATTTACATGAAGATATGAGGGTCAGATCAAGGCCATAAGCTGTGGTCACAGGTCAGTCAAGGTGATGAGGTCTGGACAGAAGTGGAGGGCTTACATGTACACAAGGATGATGTTTTGCCTAATTTCTTGCCTTGTTATGTCTCAAAAAAAGCCTAATCAACCACATGCATTGCCAGCACTAGAGGAGGGGAATGAAAAAGCTTATATAATGATGATTAAAAAAACATACTGTTGATTACGTCTGATTTAGCATTAAAAAAAAAAGCTTGCCTAAATATAAACCTGAAAGCAAGACTGCATAAATATGCAAGTATTCAAAAGCTCTCTGTCCTAATGAATGAGTGAGTTGAAGTTTGAATAAGTCTGGACAGTGATGCCAATATATTTCACTCATGTTTTAACTGGAATAAACCATGGACAAAGGTACAGACAGGAGAGATGGGTGTTCCCCCATCTCAGGAAAGAGGAAACAGACTGTCCGACTCACAACAGGAGCATTAGGTGGAGAGCACGGAAATCAGCAGTGAATTTAGGTAGAAGCACAAACTGAATAGAATTAATAGTTTATTCTAACAATATATCATCAGTCTTTATTCATCTACAAAAAGCCACAGTTAATATTGCAAGTCACCAGCTATCATTAAACTTCGCTGTGTTCTTTTGGAAAACCCATCTTAAACTGGTATCTGTTTTGGAACATGCTGTTTCTAGCTGGTCACTAGCTAATTGACCAGCCACAATATTTTAGAAAACAGCTTAACCAGTGTTATTCTGGCCCATTACTGACCAGCTTGGACCAACTAGAACCTACTAGGTTTTCACACAGCTGAATTTTCCTACTGGGATTGTCGCAAATTCAACAAACGTCATTGAAATATGAATTTACTTATCTCAGCTCTTTATTCACGAACGGGTTGCCTCTTGTTGAAATAGGCCTATTTGAACGGTTGTCTATTTAGTGTGAAAAAGAACGTAGGCTACTTTCCCCCTTGGAAATATTTTAAGTTTTTAACTGACTGCAAACAATCGATAAAAAGTAGTTGAAGTGGACATAAATGGCAAACATTACTCAAAAAACAACTACTGCTTTTGTCCAACAGGTTACTTCTGTCATGTCATATAACCTTACCTCTTCGACTGATCTTTGTGGAGTGCTGTCCCGGTCTGGTATTTGTAAACTCCGGGTCCCCACGTCCCCTGAACGCATGTCAGCCACAGTATCAGCAGCAGCAGCAGCGTCCTCAGGAGGAAAGAGCTCCGGTGAACCGCAGACACCGAGCGCCCGTCACCCGCTCCCATTTCAGCCGCGTCAACTATACGGAGACCCTAGTCAGCAAAATACCTCTTCTAATACTGTCTAGAGGACAGATATACCACTCGCAAACCTAATTTCTGAACTGCCGTTTCTCTTAACGAGAATTAAAATAATAAAAGTCTTGTTTATGCGTCTCAAACACGAGAGTTAAAGTTTCAGAGGATTGTCATCGGCAGACCCCGCCACACATAAATCTCCTCACAAAGTTTGCTCGCAAACCGCAAGACAAACGTTTCTTAGCAGCCACCCAAACCGGTCCCGCCTCACTCCTCCATCTCCGTCTCTGTCTGTACGTTACGGTATATTTCTTGACTACATCAACACAATGGGCAAGAAAGCTGTTTTATAGTCGCCTTGAGTCCCACAGCCCGTATAGTTTTTTTCACCCAGCCCAGCTCCCTCTCCCTCTGTCCTCTCACACATGCAGCACTCCCCCTTCCCTGCTCTTCCAGTGAAAACTTTTACACATGAAACAAACATAATTATGCAAGTCTCATTTAAAAATACAAAAAGAGCCAGAAAGGCTAATAAGCACGACCACTACTCACAGAAATGACAACTGTTTCTCCAGCAATCTCTCCTCATCTGTCTCAGAGGTTCAGAAGCGATCTGAGCAATGTGCTCAAAATGACCAAGATACCAAAGTTTACAATCAAAAGTCAATATGATCTCTATAAAATAATCTCCTCGATATGTTCTTCCAAGACAAATGCTATCAATATTTTAAAAAAGAACTGTAAAAACTCTCTTTCATCACTTGTTTCTGTTTTTATATCTCCCAAGAAATATTAGGCAAAACATCCAATGCTTTAGGAATATTTGCATAATATTTATTGTTACTGCACTGATGCCAAAGCAAATGATTAAAATAAATAAATAAATAAATCTGGAAAACATTTACTTGTTGACAGCATTTCCTTTTCTATCCACTAATGAATTAATGGTAGAAACATTTTCAATTTATATTTATTCATAAACTCTTAAAAATAAGTGTCAAACGTTTTCACAGCAAGTTAGTATAACCATTTTGGGTTCCCCAAAAAAACTTTTAGTAAACAGTTCAAAATAACTTTTTTTTGTTGAGTGAAAACATTTTAATAATCAAAAGAAACTTTTTCCACTATAAAGAGACGTTTGTGCAATGGAAGTATGTTAAAGGTTCCTTGTGGAACCACACTGTCAAAAAATGCACCCCTAAAGGTACACTTTTTGCACAACAGCTTGTCACTAAACCTTAAAGGCACAACTTTGCCCTTATCCATCCCTAAAAGTTGCATATTAGTACCTTAGAGTAGTTCTTAAGGTACTTTTCTGAATCTTTTAGGTGTAAATAAGGTACAAGTTAAAGGTACTGCCTCTATGACGAGCTGTTGTACCCCTAAAGGTACATTTTTTTCTTAGCGTCCATGGATGTCAAAATAATAAACCTTTATTTTTAAGATTGTATAATGCTTTTCACACTAAAGATCATTCCAAATGCGTTTTACAGTTAATCTTGACAACACATTTTATATAAAAAAAATATTTTTTTTTCTTAGTTATTCGGTGGACCCCCATTATAAATGATAAATAAACATAAGAAGTGCTAAAGCATTCTTTTCAGCATGGGTCTCGCCTCTTCACATGCTTACACTTCAGATGGCTTAATGAGTCATACGACTGCCATAACATGAAAACCTCCTCCAGAAGACAAAGCACAGTCTAACATCTGGATAGCATCCAGAACGGGGCAAGGGGAGAGAGCGATACAGAACGAGAACCTTGGGAACACGGTTTACTCTAACCTCTCCTCTGCCCGGTGAAAAAAAAGGGGAACTAAGGGGTTTCTGAAAACCGCAAAACTGTGGTCCACGTCCAAGCTAAACACCTGGCTCAGCAGGCAGGACGGACTCCAGCCCACTCATCTATATCTGAGGTCGAGGTGACTACGCTCGGCGGACCCCCTGACAGTCAGAGAAATAAGCAAAGCACAGAGAAGGGGCATCAATCACACGGGCCGCCAAGATCTGCAGGTGTTGAGGGGATGCCACTTGTCATAGTTTGACATGTTTGACTACAGTTTGACTAAAATAAAGGGCAAAAATGAACTAGCAGAATGTGAGGTACTGACAATGGAAAGTAGATATTAGTGCATCTGTGTTTGACTGAATAGGCTTTATTCCTGCTGCCAGATTTGGTCAAAAAGAAGCAAGTAGGAAAGTTACGATGAGGGTGTGTGCAACATTTCAGCACTTTAAGTTTGGTGCGTCTGTGGCATTTAAAAAAGCAGCCATGCCAACCAGGCACTGAAGCATTTCAGGGTTAATATAAATCCCTGCTGTGGAAGAAAGATGAAAATAATCTGTGCTTCAAAAGAAATAAAAATGTAGGCCGGTAATGGTAGGAGTCTTTGAATGAACAAACTCTCTTGTTTTGCTACTTGATTCTCTGTCTTCATCTCTCTACTGAGAAATTAAAGCTTGTTGTGGCATAATAATGTTGAAAACAAAATGTAAAATGCAAATTATTGCCCAGCTCTAATATGCTAAACTGTGACTATAAAAAAATGAAGATATTACGATCATTAACATTGTGGATTTTCTGCAAAGCTGCTGTAAAGTGATATACAAATAAATTTGGCTTGACTTCGACTTGGCATAACATTTTATAGCAATTTCAACTTGGGTTATAATTAGAGACTTACAATAAAAATACAAAAGCACAGCCATGAGATGTAAACAAAGTGTTCACATGATTTTAGCGTGAAAAAACACAAATTACTTGCTAATCATTTCTGTGAAAAGTTATCTAATTTTACAGCATTGTTGCCAATACCTAAAACCCTAAAATGATCAACTTTACAGCAAGAACTTTGAAGTTGCAATGTTATAGAAGTAGTGACAGATCTTTTCTTCAGAGTGAAACAGATTATCTGAAAAGGCTTCACTTGGTCAATTGTAAGAAAATGTTTATAGTTTATGAAGACAAAATGTTTCTGCTTTGAAATCCATTAAAAATGGGCCCCATTCACTGCAACACTGTAGCATTTCCTTTCATTACGCTACAAATGCTGAAAATTTAGCTTAACTTGTACTGAACCTGAAATATTTCTATAAATGAAGCCACCTTATTGTTTCCCTCTGATTATTTACCATATATAGAATAGAATAAACTCTAAAAACTATTTCCCGCTTCATTTCATCCGAGTTGTTAAACACACACTTTATAGCCTTGAATTGATTGTGTAAACTTTTAAAAGTGCCCCCAATGAACGTTCCTTGTGGTCACCTCTATTGTTAACGGAGTTCCTGGTGCAAACATTGAGCATTTGTTGGCACTTTAAACATTCCGGACAAGCATTTGCTGAGAAGAGGGCACTTTGTTCTAAACTTAGTGTTGGTGAAGCTGACTGTATGTTCTCTACGCTGTGTAGGTAAGACTTTGTCCCACTTAATTATAAAGAATCAGCTCACCTGGCCATAATTCATCTATTTTTAACAAGGAGAACAAAGTATCAGCCAGACAAGAGGAGAGGAAGAAAAAAAGGTGGTGATATCCCAGGTGGAAAAGTTCCTTTCTGCTCTATTTGATACAGATACATTTTTTCCATAAATGCTTGCTTTTTCTTGGGCAAACTTTGAGCTTTCAGAAGCAGGAAACATATATCAAGTTCTATAAGAACGGGTCAAATTCCTCTGGTGACCCACAGGTTATGTATGAAAAATGTGACATATGCCAAACCGAAGCATAAACATATGCAGATCAGACATGAAAAGACAAGCCTCTTAAATTTATGCTTGCATACCTATATCCTGTACGTATATACGGCACATAAGTTTGAATATGTCTGCCCTCAACCTGACTGATGTGCTTTTTTTCTTTGAGGTTTTGTTGGAGAATGTAGCGTTGAACAGGACCATGAGCGAGGGGTCTGGGGGAAGCCTCAGATGGGAGCTGGTATGGATGCCTGGGTGAAACATAATCTAGAGAAAGAAATGTTAGCACTGTAATTAAGTGAACACAAAGCAGCCCCTCTTTCCCCCACTAGTACCATCCCCCATGGTTCTGAAGGCCCATGGGTGTTAGAAATGTCATGAGGAATCATATAGACAGAAGACTTAATAAAGAGATCTATCCTCTGAGATTACATATATCAGGGCCTGGAGAGGGATCAGGAGACCTGGGTGAGATGGGGTGCATGAGCTGTGCTGGCAGGAGTCCAGACGTCAGACAAACAGAAAGGAGAAAGTAGTTGCCTTGTGCTTCTCCTTGTGGCTCAATGGTACCACGAGACACTAGTTTGGAGTGTTCTGCCTCCTAGTGGTACACACACAAACACACACATGCACATGTGTATATATAGAATAGAATAGAATAGAATAGAATAGAATAGAAAACAAAACCATTATTTTATATTTTTATAACATTTTACACAATTACTGTTTTTTTTCTTTCAAATAACTATTTTACACATAAATGCAGTGTTCATGAGCATAAGAGACAAACATATTTAAAAAATCTGAATTATATTAAACTTTTGTTCAGTAGTGTATATAAAAATGAATAATATATTATTGTACATTTTCTATATAGAGTGGAAGCCAAATGAGCTTCGTAAGACCACAAAAATGTAAAACTTGAAAACAAGTAAATAAGTGTAACTAACAAATAAGTAAATTTGTAAAAAAAGTAAATCAAGTAAGTAAATCTTTGGAACATTCATTGAAATTCATTCATTCATTTTTACTTAAATTGTTATGCAGGTCTATAATTCACAATGGCAAACACAACACATACTGTAAATTAGATGCAATATAAGTGCAGTTTTGATTAGTGATCTTAAAACGTTTTGACCCCACTGTATATATTTTAATGTTAAAATCTTGATTCTGAAAAATAAAAGTTCATAGACATACAATATTTTTTAACTACCCAGACAGATTTTCTTTAAGTACCTAATATGATGTGTTTGGCAGTAAAAAGGGCAGCCTCACAATCCTTTGTAGCATATAAACTGCAGAGCTTAGAGAACTCCTGACTGAAAATAATCAAAAATGATCATTGATGAAAGGACACAGAAGTCTATGCAGTGTGTTAAACGAACAGTGGTTTACAGAAGGGTCAGTGTGTAGGAGAAAAGTTCTGACTGCAGTCAGTAAACAGATCAGACTGGCCAGCTTGCGTCTAGACTGTCTCTAGCTCCTCTCGCTGAACTAATTTTTACAGGAGCATATAAAGACTCCGGAAGGTTGGGTAAGAACATCAGTTTATCATTACAGACCGTAAAATGTGTTTCCTTTATGCTCAGCTTCAGCCCAACTGGAGAGTCTCTAACAACTTCAAGGTGACGAGGAGATGCACATTAAAGTATATAACACAGAAGTAAAAAACCTAAATCCCTTAAATAAATGTAAATCAGAGGAGTGTCACTTTAATTTTACTTCCATGCAGGTCTAAAGCTGTTAAGTGTGTTGTGGAAGTCTTTAATGAGTGGAGCGGTGAGCCACAGGCGGAAGTCTGTGTGAGGTTTACTGACTATTTTCAGTGATTACTCCAGGTCTTTCATTTTCACTAACAAGTTGAGAAGTATTCATCAAGTTTTGGTGACAACTCCTTCCACTTTCTCAAAATGTATGTTTACTGTTTGGGTCGACATTGTCAGTCATGAATACTGACAAATCCACCATTAACTTCTATGAATGAATGAATTTTTTTTATTTTTAAGCACATTCGATATGTATACTCTACCATTTAAATGCCTGTTGTCAGTAAATATTTTTTAAATGTATTTTTTATTTTCTTAAAAAATAAATCAATACTTTTATTCAGCACAATGTTCTTTTGAACTGTCCATTCATCAAAGAATCCAAAAAAGTAGCATTTTCCACAAAAATATTAAGCCGTTTTCAACACTGATAATATTAATAAATGTTCCTTGAGAACTAAATCGGTATATTAGAATGATTTCTCTAAATTATCATGTGACACTGAAGACTGGAGTAATGGCTATTGAAAATTTTACATTGCATCACAGGAACTTTTTTATCTAATAAATGCAGCCTTTGTGAGCATTAGAGGCTTCTTTCAAAAACAAAAAAAAATCTTACTGACCCCAACCCGTTGAGGTCAGCTATTTGTAAAATTCTACAATTTTGTGCAGTTTCCCCCAACAAAGGGCATTAACAGCTTATGAACAACAACATATTTACTTGTCTTTCCAACCTCTGCACCTCTACACAGCTTGCCTGCAATTAGAGATGGCTGAAACCCTAATTCAGTCAAGATTTTTATTCAGCTTCTCTTCTGACTGGTGGCAGCACGTTTGTTCTTGTCATGCCGTCAGTTAATTCTGAAGATCACTGGAAGTGAAAGGCACAAAGGAGAGACATGCCAATATCAATCCGCTCATTCATTCATCAAATCAAACCATTGGTAGGAAGCAAATTTCAGAGATCTCATAGAGTGGCAGATCAATAAAGAACCAGTCACTCATGCCGACCAAAATAAAGTTTGAAGACACTGACCTTTGTCATAAGTTCTTCAACAGTACATGAGGAAATACCATCGCCTGTGTAGGGGTGTCTTGGCATCCTAACTTTGACTGGAGTTACAAAGGTGGAGACAGCATCATGATTTTGGTGATATAAAAATAAAAGTTTTTATTTTCTTCAGTTGCAGAATAATTTTTCATAAATTATTCCCCAACATTGAATTGAAAACATTTTGTAAGGCCATCTTTAAGGCCTTGTCCAAGGTCCTGAAAATGATTTTGCCGTGATTGCTCCATTTTTGAGGAAGACACTACAGATCCAGATATTTCAGGCATCTCTACATGTTTTCATAGTACAATGAACTCTCGGTTCAGAAGATAAAGGAAAATGATTCCTCATCATGTGAGATACTAGATATCTATTTAACAACCAACCAAATATTCAGACAACTGAACTTTTAATAAGGCAAATAACACATTAAAACATTGCCAACTGCTTCAATCAACACTTCACCCATAATCCACAATAAAAGGACTGTTTATATAGTGATTTACCAACATATAAATGGCTACAAATACTGAAATCAGGATATCTCTCAGTTATGTTTACTAGTTCATCCTTCTCTTCTGGTTATAAACCAGTTGGACTAGTGTTAACTTCACTAACAGGATAATATAGACACAAAACAGCTTATCGTTTCACACAGTAAACTGTGTTGAGGTTGCATTAACAGCTTGCATGAAATTGAAATGTAATACTAAAAGTTAAGGCAAGAAAACCACTTTGTTTCAGAGTTTTAGCAATTGTTACTGGACTCTGAGACAGCTTAGTGTTGTGTTAGCCATCCTTCCCAAAGAATAAAAAATGAGAGTGGTTTAATGTAGATGTACCATAATACTTGCTTTTTCTCTTAAGTACATGTCAGTTTCTAACAATTCAAGGAAGTCAATTCCAATACTGATAATGTTACTTATTAAAATCCTTTAAAAACCCTTTTAAAGGCTGATAATACTGTAAAGAAGAAGAAAAAAATCAAAACATCTTGGAAAAAAGTATTTGAGGTCAGGTGGTATGATGGCTGTTGTGGTTGAGTGCTCGATGTCGCCTTGTCCTGATCTCCATTTCATCATCCTGTTCGAAAGTTAAAAATCGTAAGTATTAGGATTAACCATACGAAAAAATAACACATGCATCCAGTTATCTTACTGTATCAGCTGTATCTGCGGTCTCATCCTCTTCATCTTCAGAATGCTCACTGTGTTCACTGTTTGGATTGGACAGGTCAAAGTCTGATAGCACTGCATCTTCATCATAGTCTGTCTGGTACTCAGACTCCTCTGTGTGTGTGAGTGAATGTAAGAAACAAAACAAAGGTGAGCGAACGGCATGGAGAAACAACATGAGTGAAGATCATCCATTTCTCACCATCCACCACGGCCTGCTTCACTGGCTCTATTCTGGACACTATTTCAGCCAGATCAGTGAAAGAAGCATTGGGACGGGTCACCTGGAAGATAGATAATCATGGAATTAGTTTGTGATGCTGCATAAGAAATAAGCAAAACTCCTTCAAACCCCTTTTACATTAGTGCTCCTGGATTTGTGGAATTCCTCTTGATGTTGGTCCTTGAGCATCGTCTCCCTCACCCCACTCCGACACCACACGTCAAACACGGTCTTCCCATGCTGGTAGCCAACGTCCTGCAATAACAGAAAAAAGTCATTGCTGCAGTCAAGGCCAAGGCAACAGAAGTTTCTATGAGATGATGACAGCCCACTCACAGCAATCTCATCAAATTTGCCAAAGTCCAGAGTGCCATAGCGATCTATGGGTGGTCGCAGGTACTCGCAGTAGTCACTGTCTTTTACCATCTCCAGCTGACGCACAGAACACACATAAGCCAGACGAGTCTGAATCTCTGCCATATTCAACACCTAGAGGATATGAAGCCATAAAAAACCAGTGAACGCAAGGGAGTAAGGCAATGATGGGAAGCAGTTAGGGCTTAAAACTAAAAAATTAAATATTTTTTTATATATTGCCATGTACAAAGGTTTTAAAAAGAAAAGGAATTTTTTTAAAATTTGTATACAATATAAATATATTATATAATTATTTCAGATAAATATTATATAAATATTTATATACAGTGCCGATTTGTAATGTTTTTTTTTAAAAGTTGCATTTATTTGATCAAAAATACAGAAAAAAATAATTTTGTGAAATATTATATTTTCTATTTTAAAATACTTTAAAATATAATTAATTCCTGTGAAGCAAAGCTGAATTTTCAGCATCATTACTCCAGTCTTCAGTGTCACATGATCCTTCAGAAAACATTCTGATATGCTGATTTATTATCAATGTTGGAAATGGTTGTGCTGCTTAATATTTTTTAGGACCTGTAATACTTTTTCCAGGATTCTTTGATAAATAAAAAGTTCAAAAGGACAGTGTTTATTCAAAATATAAATTTTGTGTTACAATAAACACTACTATTTGAAAGTTTGGAGTCAGTAAATTTTTCTTTCTTTTTCCTTTTTTAAGAAATTAATACCTTTATTCAGCAAGGATGTGTTAAATGGATAAAAAGTTACATTAAAGACTTATATTTTGAATAAATGCTGTTCTGTTTAAACTTTTTATCCATCAAAGAATCAAATAAAAAAGTATCACAGGTTCCAAAAAAAATATTACACAGCACAACAGTTTCAACTCTAGTAATAAATCAGCATATTAGAATGATTTCTGAAGGTTCATGTGACACTGAAGACTGGAATAATAGCTGATGAAAATTCACCGCTGCGTCACAGATTTAAATTATATTTTAAAGTATATTAAAATAGGAAACCAATATTTAAAAAATGCAGTAATATTTCACAATATTACTGTTTTTCTGTAAATACAGCCTTGATGAGCATAAGACACTCCATTAAAAAACATAAAAATCTTACTGATCCCAAACTTTTGAAAGGTAGTGTATATTACACATATTATTATTATGTCATATAGTAATTATATTATTTGTAGAAATAGGCACAAACAAATGTTTTGGGATTTGTAATTGAAATGGTTTGTAATTGAATAACCCATAAAAATCCATTATATTCAACCATCACCATATATCTTCTGACCTTTACTTTTTCTGACAGAGGGTTCAAGCGTTTCCATAGCAGCCACCATCCAGATAAAGAGTCTCCATAATTAGTCAGATCAGTCTCATCCTGACTGCCAACATCAACGGCAATTACCAACTTGGCACCCATCGAGCGAGCTGTGTCAGCTTTACAGAAATGTAATGTTTAAAATACCTTACAGCTAACATTTCACAATTAGCAGTTTAGAGCTGGGTGATAGCACTTTCTACAAATGGTGAAAATATAAATGATTGTCTGTAATACTTATAATAAACTCAACCAGGTAGGTTATTGATGTAGCCTCCATCCATGAGTAAGTGTCCATCTTTAGGGTCACACAGAGGGGGAAGGTACCCAGAGAGAGACATGCTGGCACGCACGTACCTCCACAGAGAACCTAAAAGAGAGCGTACATGTTAAGATTTGTGACAAAAGATGAGAAATAAAGATGACATGTTTTAGAGATAAAGAAGTAACCATCAGTGTGCACTCTCATGGAGGAGGCTGTGATGTCTGTGGTGATGTTGAAATAAGGGATCCAAAGGTCCTACCATATAAGACAGACATATGCACAAGATTTAGACTTACATAAGAATATGATGTTTATAATAGTCTGTTTTGTGCAGTGTCAAGTGTCAAACAACTGAACCTCGATTTGTTTATCCTGGAAGATTCCACTAATGCTGGAGTTAAATGATGCTCCAGTAAACATGGATGTCACTGGGTACGTCAAATCTGTGATCTTCTTAAATAAGGATCCAAAATCCTGTTGTGCACAAAAAAAGATAATTCAGTGCATGGTTCTGCATGTACTGTATGAATGTTAGTGTTCAGGTTAAAGGTCTTACCATGGCCCACTGGCGTGCCCTAACCGTCATACGACTGACGCTTCGCTCTTCAGCATAGAGCGCTCCTATCAAGGAACCAATGGAAGTGCCACCAATCAGATCCACAGGGATCCCAGCCTCACTCAACGCCCGAATGATGCCCACCTGAGAGCAGCCTCTGTGGGTATAGTGTGTTTTCATATTCATATATTGGTTTTCATTTTCACATTTTAGTACTTAGTTGAGCATTGTGTAATATTAGTCTTTTTTATAAAGCATTTTAAAGGTAAAGTGAGTATTTTTCTTTTAAAATTTCTCATCCTAGTTTCATGTGTAAAAACGAAGTCAGTCACCGAATGTGAACATCGATCCTGTTATGCTTTGAAAACATTGACATGTCAAAGACTGGATCAACCAATCACATGAATTTGGGGCGGGGCTACCTGTTTGACTGACAAGAGGCAGAGCAAAAGGAGGATTTGAAAAACCTGTGTTCTGCTAGTCACACAAAAATTATACACTTCACCTTTAAACATACTTCATATGCAAGCAAAGTCTGTATTAAAGATTTAAAAAGTCTAGATGACGAGCATATACGGCCACAGAGAAAATTATATATAACATGCTATTGATATCATTGCAATAACAGAATCACACAACAGAAAAATTATGTCACCGCTACGTGAAGTAGACATTTTATGCCCAGTTATATATCATGTTTGACCCACCTTTAACAAGTCGCTGATTACAACTGATAGCAGGCAGGGACAGAGAGTAGACAAAGAGTCGCTATCATCGAGAGAAACCACAGACATGCTGAGAATGTGAACCCCAAAATAACACTAATGAGTTAGAAATCGCTATATTAGGATTAGTTGATGAGCACAAAATTACAAAACTTAAGTGGATACAAACTTCTAATAATGCAAAAGATAAATAGTTCAAGAGACTACTGAACTACAGATGATTGAAGAAGTCAACATCAACATGCTTTTGCTAGATTATGTATGTGAGAAATGTTGTTGGCAGCAGGCCACATGGATTGAGGTGGAACAGAATTACTGGTGATGAAGGGGAAGACAAATTCGTACCTGGCCCCCCCTCCTCCCAGCACCAGAGCGATAGCGTTGCCTGTCAGGATCCGAGCCAGACGCGAGAAGTCAGAATGCCGGTCGGGAGGCTTCTCAAATACCCGCTGATACATCTCTCTCTGACAGGAGAAGAGGAAAGTGGGAGTTTGCACAAATAAGAGATGATGAGTAGATTAGGTCACACAGAAAAAAAAAGTTTTGAAGAATGTTCACTTAATAAAAGTGGATGGGGTCCAGCTGCATTACAGAAATTTCTTAATTCTTAATTGAGAATTGTTGGCAGCAGGCCACATGGATTGAGGTGGAACAGAATTACTGGTGATGAAGGGGAAGACAAATTCGTACCTGGCCCCCCCTCCTCCCAGCACCAGAGCGATAGCGTTGCCTGTCAGGATCCGAGCCAGACGCGAGAAGTCAGAATGCCGGTCGGGAGGCTTCTCAAATACCCGCTGATACATCTCTCTCTGACAGGAGAAGAGGAAAGTGGGAGTTTGCACAAATAAGAGATGATGAGTAGATTAGGTCACAGAAAAAAAAAGTTTTGAAGAATGTTCACTTAATAAAAGTGGATGGGGTCCAAATGCATTACAGAAATTTCTTAATTGAGAATCAGCCAGAGGCTCACCACGCCTTCAAAATAATCCAACTGAGGTGCGTAGACCAAAAAAGTTTCCCAAAGGTGAAGAGCTTGAAAAAAGTCCACACACTCAAACATCAAAGAGTCAACAAGCGAGATGAATGCAATATAAGCAATTTACTGAGTAAAAACAAGGCAAACGTTTCGGTCACATGTTGACCATTAATTCTTAATTGACCTGACTTAAGACTTTAAAAGTTCTGTTTCTTCAGTGAAATTACCATGGTTACTAAACAGATGAGATAGGATGCTAGCTTCAGAGCTAGAATGTTTCTGTAATGCAGTCCAAGTGTTGTGCAACTCAAAAGAAAAAAAGCACCATAAAAGGATCGTAAATTAGTCACGGTAGTCTATACAACTCATACACTGTTCCAAGTCTTCTGAAGCCATTCGATAACTTTGCTTGAACTATGTGAAATGTCTCGCTATTCACTGCAAATCTTGTCTTAAAATTTAATTTTACAGTCATAGTCCCCATTCCTAAGGTATGGGATTCATTACCCACTACATTAGCATACCTTTTTAATAAAGCTTTTAATATGTATTATTAGTTGTATGTATGATAAGGTTAATTTGCTAAGGTGTTTTCCTGCCTATGGCCCCAGACTCCAGCATCCCCATGACCATACATGAGATTAGTTTATATCACTGATGTTGATGTTTTTTTTTTTTAGTTAATTGTTACGGAGCCCCGCACATGACATGCAGGAAAAAAAGTAAATCAAGCACACAGTTTACGAATTCGCTCCCTTGATTTACTAAATTGTACGCACAATTTACTAATTCGTTCCCTCGATTTAAGTAAATCATGTGCTCGATATAATAATTTGTTCCCTCCTTTTAAGCAAATAGTGTGCACAAAATAATAAGTCGATCCACTTCCTGTCTGCATTCTCATAAACCAATGTAGATGTATGTACCATGCAATGCTGCAAGGCTTTTGTTCCTGTGGCTCAGTGGTAGAGCATTGCGATAGCAGCGCAAAAGGTCGTGGGTTCAATTCCCAGGGAACACACCTACTGGTAAAAAAATGTATAGCCTGAATGCACTGTCAGTTGCTTTGGATAAAAGCGTCTGCTAAATGCATAAATTATTAAATTAAATAAATTGAGAATGTTTGTATAACTCATTCCCAAATCAAAATAAAAGTTACAATTTAAGTGTCTCTGTCAATAACATAAAATAACAGCAGTAATGAGAATGCAGACAGGAAGTGGAACGAATTATTATTTCCTGAGCACGATTTACTTAAAACGAGGGAACAAATTATTATTTTGTGCACACAATTTACTTAAAACGAGGGAACAAATTATTATTTTGTGCACACAATTTACTTAAAACAAGGGAACAAGTTAGTAAATCGTGAGCACGATTTAGTAAATCGAGATTTGACAATTTAAAAAAAACAATTTCGGCATGTCATGCGGCTCTGTAAATTTTCATTTTCTTTTAATTGAGTAACTGTTCTATGGTTTTAGTTTTAGTAATCTAAAATAAATCTGCATTGCATTTGTCGTTTGGAAAATCGATGGATTTGTCTCAGGCTAAATAATAGCATTCACATTCGCAACAATCGAATGTTAACACTGGTACCAGTTTAGGCAGACTCCTCCTGGAGAAGACCCTGTGGGGACATGACAGATGCTGATGTCTAGAGATCCAGCTGCGCATGTTGAGCCATTCTGCTGTTCCTCTTGGTGGAGGCCCGTCCTCACGGTGCAACAGGACCAGCTGCTTCTGAGCTCTCACAGCACTGCTCTCTAGCATTCGCTCTAGCTGATACCACAAACAGATCCAAAAAGCTCCGTTTACCAAACAATTTAACAGAAATGAATGTGCAGACATTAATTCAATGAATTAGGCAACAATCCCCCTCCATGTAAAATAAATCCGTTTTTATTGGGCTATTGATATGACTGGGGTCTTCATCTCATGTGAGTACATGCTTTTAAAAATACACTTCAAAAGCAGTATTTACTTCTCTATAGGCAAGATCTTTTTAATAACAATTCACCTCTCCCACAGTGGGCTCCCGTTCCCCCACACCCACTATGATGATGCAGTCCGCCTGTCTGATGCAACGTTGAGTCCAAGGAGTCAGAGAACTGTCAGACTGATACAGAACAATCCGGTGGATGTCCTCTTGTTGACCCAACCAGCTTGACAAACGATACTCATGAACACTGAAAAGGAAATAATAAATTAAATAAACCGTACGTCAGAGGAAACAAAAGCACAACATTTGGCAGAAATAAATATACAATGCATCCCAATTTGCATACCACCCATCTTAAATGGTATGCGAGATTAGAATGCATGCTCCCCAAATCATAGTCCACTGAAAATAGAATATATGATTTCCAGTCAGTGGACATTTTAGTCTCTTTCAGTTGCAGAAAAATGGTAAGGAATGCAAAAGTTGCTTCAGTGTTTTTGTTTGCATGAACGTAAAAGTTAAGTAGGCCATAAATATTTTTAATGAATTTAGATGTTAACACCTACAGTACAGTACATGCAGATGCTAACGTCACAAAGGAAGTCTGTGAAATCAATAACATTTATGATGTGGTAGTGTGTCCCAAATCTGGCATACAAACTGTCTTAATACATACTATTAAATAATATAAGTATGTTTTTCTTCCCGTAAAAATGGAATTTACCATTTGTAAATTCTGTGGGTCTAGCTTCCGGTCTCTTCCACGTCGAGCTATTTTTAGTTGTACAAAACAGTTCGTTTCGCTTCTTGATATTGAAAACTGGTGTCTTACCATATTATTTTAATGTATTATATTAATTATGAACACACTGGTTTGTAGCGCAAACAGTTTTACCATTTACTGCATATTGTTTTTTTTCTTGTTATTTCCCTATAGCAGCTAATTAACTGGAAGTCTTGCCCATAGGCTTCCGTGTTGAAGAAAAAGGTGGATACAACTCTCACCTGTCCAAGGCTGCAACACCCAGGTGCTGTCTGATGATGTCACTGGTTAGGAGCAAAGTGGGGCCTAATTAAAAAGTTAAGACAGTCAACTTAGTATTAGCTTTACTTTGAGGCAAGTTAAGGAGGGAAATATCTATAGCTAACCAATAGCACTGAGAGCATGCTGCAGCTCTAGCGTGAAGGCAGTCAAAGGCACCTCCTCAGACACAGGCAGTATGGCGATAGTAGATAGATTGGCGGCTGGGTTACCTGCGTCCCACTTACTGCTTGGGGTGTGAAAACCCAGACTGCGCACTGTGAAGATCATTATTGTGCATTAGGGAAAATACAAAGCACAAACACACAGAACTTTTTCAGAAACACACACCTGATAGTGGACCATTCACTTGCTGCATGTTGCCCAGAATTTTCTGCCCAAGAAGATGAATCAGGCGAGTCACAACCTATGAAGGAGTGTGATGTGTTAATGCACATGCAACAGAATATCATGATATGCATTAATGATTTTCTTTTATATGGTCTAACCTGTGGGTATTTCCTCTTAATAGAGTTAAGAGCTCCTTCAGGCAGTTTGGCCAGTTCAGAGTCTCGGACTGCATGGACTGTAGTGGCTCTGTTTAAATGACTCAAAGCTTCCACCTAATACCAGCAAACACACTTTTAAAAGATGGAAACTGCAGCAGGATTTTTATTAAACACTCCACAAAATGATCTAAAATGATTTTTTCCCCTTTAATGTATTTCCTATTGAAACATTTTAAATATTAACTTTACTTAAACCATTTATGTATAGTGCATTTTAAAGAGTTATTAAAGGGTATAATGCATTATAATTATTCATAATGTATGTTGTAATACATTATATCTTAAAAATAATTATAATAAAATTTAAAATGCATAGTGTAACAATGAATTGATAATGTATTAACAGTGGTTACAATTATTCGTGAGATTGTACAATGCATTATAAGGTGCATTACAAGATATAATTAATGCATTAAAACTACTTTTATAATGCACTGTGCATAAAGGCTTTAAATAAAGTGTTACCAATACCAATCTTCTAAAAATGTAGTTTTGAAAGTACACACACGCACATATCTCCACTTACCACACCAATGAGGTCTCCCCGCCCATACTCTCCAGCAAGCTCTTTTTTCCCATCATCCTTCATGATGACAGAACGCAGACGTCCACTCAGAACAATGAAAGTGCTGTCTGACTTATCACCTTGTCTGAGAAAGACAAAAGAGAAAAATTAAAGTATTACCTGAAATATATTTTACATGCACTTTCAAGTTCTTACAACATCGGAAATCAGAACAGTGACCTTAGACATACAGATCTGGAACTGAGAAATTATTTATTGGAAAAGGGTGCTTACCTATAGACAGCCCGTCCGGCCTCCAATGCCATCCAGTCCAGGGCAAAGTCAATCTGTCGGACAAAGGAGGAGACCCTCCGTACCACCGTGTGAGCTACATTTAACACTATTCGAGGCTCAGCACGCATTATCCTAGCGGATAAAACACACAGTTGACATGTTAATCAGTGTTCTTATACGCTATACTTAATTTTATACCATTTGAAATTAAATCTTTCTAATTCTTGCATAATTATTTTTTATTTAAATGTTTTTTGGATAATAATTTTTGTTGTTATTATTGATTTAAGTCCTACAAAAAAGCCAAACAGTAATTTAAAATGCTGAAAAATATTTACATAAAAAAAGCTGTCTACATAGGGTTTAATAAACCCAAAAGGGTCAGAAGCAGTTTTATCAGATTAAGTTGTTACTTATTATATAAATACTAGAACGCATCAAATTATTTTTCTCATCAAATGGATTTGTCCTTACAGCTGGTGGGGAGTACATTTGCTAGAATTTTCAATTGCCTTAAGTTAAAATTTGGTGCACATCACATACTCATAGAAGTGTGTTTTGGAGATGGACAGGAAGCAGCAGTCACGGTGGGCGCGCACAGAAAAGATGAGAGGCTCTCCTGTGAGAACGGCCAGGTGGCCCACCATCTCTCCAGGGTGAGCCACAAAAAGACACGTTTCTTCCTCTCTGTCAATCAGTCTTTGGTACACATGGAGAGTTCCTGAGATTACAAACTGTACGCTCACATCCTGTCACAGAAACAAAATAGAAATGGATTCACATGTGACTTGAAATTGATAATTACTCTATAGGATGGTCAAAGTCACAGGTATCTTTCTACCTGATCTCCCTCGCTCGCAACAACAGAGCCCGCTTTAACTTGTCTCAAAGTCACCCTATCTTCCAGAAGACTGGGGTCCTGGAGTACAAAGTTAAATTTTTATATTACATAAAAATCCAGGGCAAACATTATAATTATATCAAAATTCTTACTTCAGTAGATCAATATAATTAATGCAGCCTGACCTGAAGCTGAATAATTTTAATCAAGTCCTTCTTGGCAGCTTGGAAAACGGTATTAACTTTACAATGGTGGATGTGGCTGGAGTGCCCCCCAGTGTCTGAGTAGTAAAACACAGCTGAAGGAGAATGTTGCATTGTCACCGACTTCTTCCTTATAGACTGGACAAGAGACAAAGGCACACGTGAGATATACAAAATGTAAACAAATGTGAGGAAAAAGAAAGACAGTCTATGGCTTTTTATGTGTGTCATAAAATTACGCCAAGGTACCTTATGAATGGCAATAGGACTTGTAGGGGCTTCCTCTTTTGTAACGCTTGCCCTGTCAAAGGCCATATTGTGGTCAGGAGACCCAGCTGGAAGATAAGCAGATTAAGCACACATTAGCACACTCAAAAATTTTCATTATGAATGTATTCAAGCATTAAGTACAATGTCAAAGTCAGTATTGGGTATTTTGTAAAAGGTGCATGGTGAAGCACTACCATGGGTGCCATCAAAAGGTGTTGACAGTGAGCGAGACTTCCTGAATAAAGTGGTAGGACTTTCTGTACGATGCTTCCCACCATCTTAAAAAACAAAAAAGCAAATAAGACCTAAAGGCTATTTTATAGCTCATAGTGATATTTTTTTGTTTGTTTTAAATTAGGACTGGGTTCCTCAAATCTTACCCTGGAGGGCCAATGCGCCGCAGATTTTAGCTCCAACCCTGATCAAACTCACCTACCTGTGATTTTCTAATGATCCTGAAGACATTGATTAGCAAACTCAGGTGTATTCGATTAGGGTCAGAGCTAAACTCTGCAGGAAAGTGGATCTCGTGGCCCAGATTTGAGGATCCCTGAATTAGGATAATATTAGGAAAGTTTGAACAAAATTGTACAGATTAAATGTTCATTTCTACATTAACAGCAAATATTTAACTACATACAAAAACATACCCTCTCCTCTGTACATCTGACTTGTCTCACTATAACGGTCTGTTGACCTCTGCGGGAACTTTTCAGAAACTTCCTCAATTGTCTGTGAGTGTCTGCGGATCCCTTTGCCTGGACTGGCTTCTCCTACAACATTGGCCACTGAGACCAGTGGAACAGCTTGACTTTCCTATATGATATGACAGTAATGGTCTATTCGACATACGTACTGTAAAAAAAAAAATAATGTAATACTTTAAAATATTTTTCAAAAGTAGAGCATGATTTCTAAACATCTAACCTTATTAAAAAGTTCTGTGGTCAGGCCTAGATAGTTGTGAAGGGCAAGAAAGGTAACTCTCTGAAGACGCACCATGATGATCTAAAAACAAGAAACAGCTGTATCCTATCATAAGCAAAACAAAACAGTCTTCTTTTTAACTTTCTATTCATCAAAGAATCTCGAACTGTCTTCAACATTGATAATAATAAGAAATGTTTCTTGAGCACCAAATCAGCATAATATAATGATTTTGGAATCATGTTGCTGCTGAAAATTCAGCATTGCCATCACATAAATAAAGTTGAATGTAAAATATCAATATATTGTACATTTTACAATATATTGATATAGAATTTTGAATCAAATAACTGCAACCTTCGTGATCTAAGAGACAAAAGCATTTAAAAAAAAATCTTACCAGCCACTCCATTTGATGTTAGTGTATTTTAGGCTTTAGGTTATACCTGAATAACTCGGACTAGGGTCTCTGGGTATTTCTCAAAGACAGATTGGAAAGCCTGTGCAGGAAGGCGGAGAACAGTAGTTGGGGCTGCTGCCCTGGCTGAGACAGTTTTATAGGGAGCTGGATATCCCTGCAGAATAACGGGTTCAAATATGAGACACATTTTAAAACTCAGTGAGCATGAAAACAGGTCAGATGACAGACATTTGCATATCAGAATGGGCAAAAATGAGGCCAGATGGGTTTTACAGTGATGACATCGAGGATGCTGAGAAGACTGTGAACACTGTCTCCAGGCAAAACGTGCTTCACCACAACCTCAGTCCCATCCTGAGCCAGGGAAACAAAAATACAAATCTATATAAAAAGCCATTTTCAGTAGGATAGATTAAAAATAGGTATATTGTTCGGCTCTTACATTCTCATGGATACATAGATCAAGACGCCCATCCTGCACTACAAAGATGCTGTCATCAGTGTCACCTGGGCGGAATAATCCTTCCCCTTGCTGCAGCTGCACAAACACCATATGCCGACACAGTTCCAGGAACAGAGGCTTCTCAAAATGACCCAGAACCCTGAGAGACAGACAGATCGCAACACATTAGCTGCTGAACAGCACTGCCAGACCATTGGAGCTTGGATTCTATGCACTGTTTATTATGGAAAAGAGTCAATAGCTCTTGTAGGAGGGCATGACAAGCTACCAACCTCACATTTTTCAGCATATACAGGACCTCAGAGGGCAGGTGAGAGTTCTGCATGTCAAATTCAGTCAGATCTGCTTCCAAGAGTGAAGGTGGAGGCTCTTTCGGCTGCAGGGCTGGTGGCTCCCTTCGGATGCGCAGGATTCTGTATAGGAAGATTAGATGGTAATGGATTGGCTTTTAAATGTCTGATTTTTCTTGGTTTGTGACTTTTCACGTACTTGCGAGCTATTGATAGAACTTTCGTTCGTTTTCTGGATCGCTTTTGAGATACCGGACCTGAGGTGGCTGGTGAGGATAAGGTCTGGACCTGAATGGCCACAAATAACAACACTGCGATTTAAAATCAACCCATGACCATCACATTAATCATAGTTTTGTTGCAAGTAACACAAGAAACAAGGCATTTTCCATCCGAAGTAAGAAGTTCTGGTACCTTTCTCATTATCTTCCTGCCATAAAACATCACTTTGTCTCTTTTTCTGAAACGATATTTAGGACCTTCAGCTTGCTCTTCTCCTGGAAAATCAAAGGTGTAAATCAAAACGGTTGATGAAAAACACAAAATCTCAAAACCTGAATATCAGGCATTTATATTTCACAAGTTTATCACAAAGCATCTACATGCTATCCCATCTATATTATGTTGATTTAAGGAGCACTTGTGAAAATCATTAACAACCTCACACTCACCAAACTTGTATCTTCTGTGCAGAAAAAAGGCAACAACACTGATAAATGAAATAGCAACAGCGGCTCCAATCAGCACACCAGTCCACTGTATTATGAAATGACAATAAAGACAGTAATACACTTTGTTTGCAAGACAAACAATACAGACTACTGAGTCACTAAAACATAGGCGTTACTGTCATATACCATGGTACTCTGTAACTGATCCTCTATGAAGTGCTGCACTCGAGCCTTGATCTCAGTCCCAGATGGCAGCACTGCCTAGAATACACAAAACCACAACTATAAACCACACCTTAGATTACTTTAGTAGAAAAGATGATTCATAGTAAATAGTAGCATGGCTTTAATTATGTATTTATTCATTTATTGGTGATACACACACACATTCAGAAAATTAAAAAGCATTTTTTTAAAATACGTCTTACCGGAAATATACTGCATGTGTCATCTTGTTCTTTTTCTTCCATATCTTACAGTGAGAAGAAAGCAGAAATCAACACATTTGACACAAATTACAAAGCTAATTACCTACATCAGGCTTATTATACCTATTAAAGCGGCGTGAAACCATTTCTATGTAAATTGTTTAACCCTCAGAGACCAACTGTTAATTATAACACCAACATAGTTACATAATACCTATTTCTACTAAATATAAGCTCAAACTTCGTATAACAACAACAGCTCACTTTCCAAAATGTGTCATAGCAACAAATCTGACAGGAATGTATTTGCAATATGAATCTCCCAGCACATGGTCATGGCCTTTTGACACCATTACCATTCAATTGATCAAGTACTGTCTTTCACTACTGTGTTTCTTAATATTTCTTCAGTTTACAAAATCTTTAAAAGTAGCAACACTGTTTAAAACAACAACAACAACCATACAACAAACGAAAGTGGCAGCGCGAGGGATTCTGCCCCAGTCATGTGACACTGCCTGTAGTCCCTCAATGCAATCTGACACCCTGTTGATGTGATTTATCATGAGACCCCCTCTGTCAAGGGGAAAAGTCAAACTCTCACCACAGAGTGAAGGTGACGCTAAAACTTCCATTTTAAGTGTCTAGCACAGAATGGCAAACCATTGGCAATGAGAATTTGACTGGTTTAGGACGGGCTGCAGGAGGAATGTGGCTCTGGGTCAGAGGTAAACACGGTTCTGTTGTTTACGCACAAGCCGTGGCTATAAACATGCTCTTGTAATCAAATACACTGTCGATCACTGCAACTAACAAGATTGTAAAAACATTATGGGGTTGTATAACGTGAAGATCCTACATGCAAATAATGTCGATATATAAACGGAAAATACCTTCTGAACGACGTTTCCAAACTGTTTTGGTCACTTTCAATGCACTTCGGAGTCTCCCAGGGATCCCATTCACAATGTCAATACCCCCCACCGATTACATGTGTTGCCAGATCCTTCAAAAAAAAACTGTCCACACAGTCTGATTCAAGTTTTCCTTTCTCTTTGGAGTGTTACAAGCTGATTGTGCATAGATAAGATCCCTGAAGTTGCAAAGACTAAAGTCTCAAAACCAAAGAGATATTCTTTATCAAAGTTAAGACTCTGCCACGCCCCCCTAAAACGGCTCGTTCTAACACGCCCCCACATATCTACCTCACTATGTGGAAATATTAGCATAATGCCGCCCAAATGTGCACGCAAAGAAAGAAGGCGTGGTTTCAGTAACCGCAGTTAGTGTTGATGCAGCATGTCAGGGAGACGCTGTGTGTTTCTAGGCGAAAGCAAAAGCACTTTATTTGGCCTTCCGAAAGTAGATGCATTTAGGAATCTTTAAGATCACTTACAACAGAACAGCAATGCATTTTATGGACGACCGTTTCGTAAACCTAGGAGAGGAGGTAATTCTGACTTTGCTATGACAATCTGGCGCTTCTGAATCAGCTACTGTTTTGTTATTAGTTTAAGTATTTGCTATTGACTGTTCAAATGCGGAGTTTTGTGCATGGTGTGTGCGTGCGCGAGCGAGAGAGAGAGAGAGCGAGAGAGAGAGAGCGAGTGAGCGAGCGAGAGAGAGAGAGGGGGTCACATCACAGTGGAGTCAGCTGTCTTAACCGTGGCTTGTGTACTGCAAACACATACCAGCTTCATCACCGTGTCTGTCACGTGACTCTGTTCCCCTTTCGGGCT